TTTTGGTAATTACCTAAGTGTAGTTACAGGATGAGAGCTATGCTCGTGGTGTCCCGTCTTCCCAGCACTCTTTGTCATATAACGCTTTGAAACTACTGATGGTCTTGGCCTCCACCACCTTCTCCCCTAACTTGTTCCAACCGTCTACCACTCTGTTTGCGAAAGTGAATTTTCTTATATTTCTTCGGCATCTGTGTTAAGCTAGTTTATATCTATGACCTCTTGTTCTTAAAGTTCCAGGTCTCAGGAAATCTTCCCTATCGATTTTATCAATTCCTGTTACTATTTTGTATGTAGTGATCATATCACCTCAATTATACTCAAAAAAAAAATTTCTAAGTTCCCCATAGCGTCCTCTCTTGAAATGTTTTACAACTGTTTCATTGTCCCTATTCTCTACTAGATTATATCGGAAAGCTTATTTAATGTCCAAGAGGACGTGATCACTCTTTCCCAAGGGTGGAAGGTACTGGATGTCAAATGCCTCTTCTTCTTCTTTTCTGGTGAATACTAGATCCAGTACTGACGGAACATCCCTTTCCCTCATTCTTGTGGCCTGCTTGACGTGTTGATACATGAATGTCTTCAAGATGAGGTTTACAAATCTGCCTGTCCAAATGTCCTCTGTTCTTGCCTCGTAGGCCTCCCAGTCTATTGCCTTAAAGTTGAAGTCCCCCATTACCAACAATCAGGATTTATCTTTGTCAGCTCTTTCCATAATCTCTCTCATGACCATTATGAGGCCCTCTCGTTTGTCATCCAGTTCTTCCTTTGTCCATATGTTGCTTGGTGGTGGGCTGTAGGCATTTAAAATTATCAGCTTATCATCTTGATTCCAGAGCTGCAATGCCATTATGTCAATATCTCGAGGGTTTTCAAACATTAATTCTCTTACCTTCAGGTGTTCTTTCACCAGCACAGCCACTCTTCCCCCCTTCCTAGTTTTCCTGTCACGTCTCCAAACTGAGTAGCCCCTTGGGAATACGACTTCATTTAAAATATTTTCTTCAATTTTCATCTCTGTTAATGCGACAATATCTGGGACTTTGAGCTGAATTATATCCTTCAACTCCAATATTTTTTATCTCAATTCATCTATGTTGGTATATACTATTTTCAGGAATATGTTCCCCTTCCCTTCGTTCATTACACTCCCTTCCTTTAATTATTTTGTTGCTTTGTCTTTATGTACTATTTCATGAGCTTTCCAGCCCCTGACACTGTAGAAAAAAGAATTCCTCTCTTCTTCATTTCTATCCCTATTCAGACTTTTGCTTCAATGAGGTTCACTTTCAGCTTTTCTCTGTCTTCTATTGAGAGGTCTTGTCATATTGACCAAAGTTTGCCATCCTCGTCACATTGCAATTTTCTGGTATTACGAAGCACTTCTGTCATATATAGTACTTCACTTCATTAAACGTCACTCTTAAGAGGCGGTTCTTGTCTTTCTCATATTTTCCTATCCTCCTAAAATCACTGACATGCTCCTTTGAATTTAGGCCTTCTCCTATTCCTACTATTTCTTCTATGATTTTTATCTCTTCTGCTGCTCGGTCCACCCTAGATGGAATTTCCTTCTCTATACATCCAAAAATTATTATGGACTTCTATCTACAGTGTTTTGTACTAGTTTACTGTTGGTTACCAGTTCTTTCATAATTGCTTGCCTAAGATCCGCTTATTGTTTGTCATTTCTGGTTATGACTTCCAAATACACTTCCTTGATATAGTCTTTCTCTTTTACAACTTGGGCTCTTTTATTTCTTCTTTATACTTTTCTAGTTCTTTATTAACCTCCTCTATGTGAGTTGTCAATGAAGTGTCCAGTTGCAGATCCTTACCTAACTCTATGTTAATCCTCAGGCTCCCTTGGAGTTGTTCACCATATGAGTCTATTTTCTTGTTTATTACTTCAAAATCACCACACTTCACATTCCACACCTCATTTTCTTTCACTAGTTCCTTGATTTGCTGCTCCTGATTTGCTATCTTGTCCGTTAATGCAGTAATAATCTTACCTTGCTGAAGAATACTCCCTTTTAGAGAGCAAAATTCAGTCCTAAGAGCTCCATTGTCCTCTTCCAATTTAAGCACTTTTTCTTCATATTTCTTTTGCATATCCTCAATTATCCCTAACCTGCCAAGAACACCTCCTTTCCTTATATCTTGTGGTGAGAATCCTTTGAAACAATCATCTGTTGGTGTGTCTACATTCCCAGTGATGGTAGTGGTGGCCATCTTTGTTTATGTTCTAGAACAAAAACAAACTTTTCCAACTCAGCTTAGGTAATTCGATATTTCCAGGAGCTTGCTGCAGTGTGACTCCTGCCTGCTCCAGCTCCAGTCACTCCAGGTGTGGTGAACCCTGTGTATCCGCGGGCCGTTAAATCTTGCGTAGTACTCCATCGCGTCATATGACGCGATGCGCAATTTATTGCAAGTTACTCAACCCTTCATATGACGTATTGTGCAGTTTAAGGGTTAATGGCAATGTGGTATGCCTCGTGTTGCACCAGGAATGTGTTGAAAATTCTCCTTCCCCTAGGAATTCACCTGTCAAAGATTTACAGAGTAGTAAACTGCAACTAATATATGAAGCATGTAACTAGGAAAGGATATGGTGAGTGATTAAATAAAGCTTACCTATTCTGCGTGGCTTGCCCCACATCTTGACCAATTAACCCTACACAATCTTTAAATGGCCAACTATGATATAGACTAGGTTAGTTAATTGGAAATATAATACTTTACAATGCTAGCGAGCTCGTACTGTTGATCAGAGAGACTCTGGTTCCTTTGGAGTAATTACCTAAGTGTAATTACCTAAGTGTAGTTACAGGATGAGAGCTACGCTTGTGGTGTCCCGTCTTCCCAGCACTCTTTGTCATATAACGCTTTGAAACTACTGACGGTCTTGGCCTCCACCACCTTCTCACTTGTTCCAACCGTCTACCACTCTATTTGCGAAGGTGAATTTTCTTACATTTCTTCGGCATCTGTGTTTAGCTAGTTTAAATCTATGACCTCTTGTTCTTGAAGTTCCAGGTCTCAGGAAGTCTTCCCTGTCGATTTTATCAATTCCTGTTACTATTTTGTACGTAGTGATCATATCATCTATTTTTCTTCTGTCTTCTAGAAGGGCATGACAATCATCTAAATTTCTTATCCTTCCTATTATCTTAGCATCATCAGCAAACATGTTCATATAATTCTGTATACCAACTGGTAGATCATTTATGTACACAATAAACATCACTGGTGCAAGAACTGAACCCTGTGGTACTCCACTTTTGACATTTCTCCATTCCGATACATTGCCTCTGATTACTGCCCTCATTTTTCTATCAGTCAGAAAATTTTTCATCCATGATAGAAGCTTACCTGTCACCCCTCCAATATTTTCCAGTTTCCAGAACAACCTCTTATGTGGAACTCTGTCGAAAGCCTTTTTTAGGTCCAGATAGATGCAGTCAACCCAGCCATCTCTTTCCTGTAATATCTCTGTGGCTCGATCATAGAAACTGAGTAAATTTGATACACAGGATCTTCCAGATCGAAAACCATACTGTCTGTCTGATATTATATCATTTCTCTCCAGGTGTTCTACCCATTTAGTTTTGATTAGTTTTTCCAATACTTTCACTATTACACTAGTCAATGATACAGGTCTATAATTGAGGGGATCTTCCCTGCTGCCACTTTTGTAGATTGGAACTATGTTAGCCTGTTTCCACACGTCTGCTACGATTCCTGTACACAGGGATGCCTGAAAGATCAGGTGAAGTGGAATGCTGAGCTCATATGCACATTCTCTCAGAACCCATGGTGAAACGCCATCTGGGCCAGCTGCTTTGTTCTTACCGAGCTCCTTTAGCATGTTTTCCACTTCATCTCTAGACACCTCTATCCGCTCTATGTTGTTCTCTGGAATTCTTATTGTGTCTGGTTTTCTGAAGATTTCATTTTGTACAAACACACTGGAACTTTTCATTTAATGTTTCACACATTTCCTTTTCATTTTCCGTGAATCTGTTTCCCATTTTCAACCTCTGGATATTATCCTTTACCAGCAATTTGTTGTTTATGAATTTGTAGAATAGGCCCGGTTCTGTTTTACATTTATCCGCTATCCCTTTTTCAAAATTTCTTTCTGCCTCTCTCCTTACTGCTGTATAGTTGTTTCTCGCATCTTTGTATTGCTGGTATGTTTGGGGGTTTGGCCTCTTCCTATACTGATTCCATTTTTGTGTCTTTTGGTCTCTTGCCCTCTCACAATTTCTGTCGAACCAATCCTGTTTTCTGGCCCTGCATCTCTGTTTTGGTATGAATGTTTGTGTGCCTTCCTCGTATATTTTTAAAAATTTGGCATACATTTCATTTACTTCCCTGCCTAGCAACAATTCTGTCCAATTACGCTCATTAAAAAATTTTTGAAGTTCCCCATAGTTGCCTCTCCTTAAATCGAGTTTATCAACTGTTTCAATGTCCCCATTTTCTTCTAGATGATATCTTAAAGCATATTTAATGTCTAACAGGACGTGATCACTCTTTCCCAAGGGAGGAAGGTACTGGATGTCAAATATCTCTTCTTCTTTCCTGGTGAATACTAGATCCAGTACTGATGGTACATCTCCTTCAGTGTATGGTCATAGCTGCATTTTAAAGTTTAAAAGTGTCAGATCCTGGTACTGGTAGGCACTTGTGATTCAAAAGAAATTGGTGTAATGCCTAATGCTTGGGGTGTCCAGGTGGTTAGCTCGGGAACACGCTGAAGGGGTCCACCAGAAATGGGCACTTTTAGTGAGTGAGTGAAGAAACATGATTAAAATAACATTTCTCATCAGAAGGTTGCTACCCAATTACAGTATATCATAGTAAAAGATATGGTTAAGAATAATGACAAACTGTTTAACCATTTGATAAAGATTTGATTTGATATAAACTTGTGTTTTATCATTTCTTTATAAATGTTTTATAGATTCTGCTTGCTATTGTTCCAGATAACCTTCAGAGTTTTGGGCATACATTTTCAATATGGAAGACAAAGAAGGAAGAGGAGCCAGTGTTAACAGTGCCTGTCGTATCAAAAGAATTATCTCCGTACCAAAAGTTTCTGACACTGGCCTTCGAAATTTTCGCTTGGATATTTTTAGCATGGACAAGGATGATGAAAATACAAAGCAAGGTACAGTACTTAAGATTTCCTGAGTCTTTTAAATAATCAGTTAATAAATTGGATAACTATGAATTTTGGAAAAAAAATGATTTTCTTTATACAATAAGTACTTCTAAATTCTTTATTTGGTGATCAATTCAAGGAAATTACATTTTTGTCATTTAGTGCAGAAAACCTATCATTCGTTTTAAAAGTGTGCATGTGTTTCATCCATTTTTCATATTGCTAGAATTTTAGTACAGGTACAGTACTTTGAAATGCAGTAGTTAATTAATAGTCAGTTGCTTGATCAAGTTAAATTGGACACGTAACACTTTTGGGTCCGGAGCTTGTGCTCCGCAGACTTTGATGTCATGCTCATGACGGTGCAGGCGAGCGTGTGGCAACACCGCAAATGTGTACACTCGTTTCAGTTGTACACATAGGGGCCTCGTAGCCTGGTGGATAGCGCGCAGGACTCGTAATTCTGTGGCGCGGGTTCGATTCCCGCACGAGGCAGAAACAAATGGGCAAAGTTTCTTTCACCCTGAATGCCCCTGTTACCTAGCAGTAAATAGGTACCTGGGTGTTAGTCAGCTGTCACGGGCTGCTTTCTGGGGGTGGAGGCCTGGTCGAGGACCGGGCCGCGGGGACACTAAAGCCCCGAAATCATCTCAAGATAACCTCAAGATAACCAGTTTTCTCACCTTAATTCTCGTGCTACATCGTTCATTTTGGTATCATTGTGTTTGCAATAGAATTCCCTACAGGTGTATATGCATATAAGGTCCAAAAGCCCGACGTGACTCCCCACAACAAAGCCTAAAGTTGGCAAAGTTACCCCATGAACGACCACCAATTGGCACACCTGCAACCTAATGTATATTCTCGTTCAGTTTGATAACATCAATTTTCGTGTTACGTCTTTCATTTTGGTATCAAATTGTTTGCCATGTAAAGGCCCATATATGAAAACTAGTCCCATAATAATAGAGCAATAAATGGAATTTTAACAAATATTTTAAATTTTGGACGCTCATCACAAAATTAATTATATCTTTCCAGTGTTCTGACCTCAATTTTCATGTTACGTCTTTCATTTTAATATCAAATTGTTTGCAATCTAAAGGCGTGCATTTTAAAACTAGTCCCATAATAATAGCACAATAAATAGAATTTTAACAAATATTTTAAAATTTGGACCACAAAAGTATTTAAAATCTTTCAAGTGTTCTGACCTCAATTGTTAGGCTACATAGTTATTATTGTATCAAATTGTGCGCAATCTAAAGGCCCTCATTTTGAAACAACTTCCAGATTGATCGGATAAAATTTGAATTTTTAAAAAATATTTTAAAATGATTGACGCCTATATACGCGGCACCCGAGTGGATGCGAGAGAAAAATTAATGACAACCGGGGATGACATCCGAGTGCGATAGTGTTAACACAATTTTTATTGAAGTAGGTGGTAAATGGGGCCTCACATTTTTTTGCAGTCTGTTTAGCCATTCACTGGTGATCCTATTTGCTTTTGTGTGGAACCAGCTGCTTCCTATTCACAACCAATACATTTCTCCCTGACTGTACAGTACCTCTTCTCACCAGTCAAACCAGCCTGTGAAGATGGCTGGTAACCTTAATGGGCCACATTCTTCTGTTGGCTCCCATGTGACCAGTTCAATCCTGGCTCCCAGCCTTCTTGTCTGTTGTGCCACTTCCCTCACCTTCCCGAGGCTCCACCTCTTTCACAGGAATTTAGTCAATGGTTTGACAGTGTTACTGTTCTTTGTACGTTAAATTTTCTAGGCCTTAAACTGCGCCGCATTATAGTTTGACACACCTGTGGTGTGACGAAAAAAATTATTTCCAAAAAGTGGTTTTCTCTTCTTATACAGTACAAGTATTGTTAAAATGCGGTCTCTGATCACGGGAAACTAAAATAAAATATTGTATGTGACATACTTTAGCTATGATGAGCTGAGAAGTTGAGCAGTTTATGGGCAGTGAGTGAGTAGACACCCGGGCACACTTGACACTGCCACCCCGTGGGGCGGCAGTTACTGCGAATATAATTTTTCAGAATTATTTCAGTATGTCTCATTGGTTTTTTCTGTTTGTCTGGGTTCCTCCCCTTTGGCTCCCCGGAGCTATCTGGGCTGATATGAATGTATTAGATCCTGGGATCAGTCAAGTGAATGGAGTTCTAGGCCTGTCGGGGACCACGAGTCAGAACCTGGCCCCTCAGAGAGGCATGAGGAACAATGGCCTATAGAAAGCCCCTTGTGGTTGGAAGCATTCTATGTCTGCCATCGACCGAGTCAGGCACCCAGAAAGGTAGGCTCCCCAAAACAAACCCTATCTGGTTAAAATATTGCTACTGAAAGCTGAACCGTTGGACAGAACTCCTCCAAACGAAAAACGAGCAAGCGAGCATGACATCACAACCGTTACCGTGCCGCTGTCTGCGCAGTTCCCCCCTCCTGGGAGAGGGGAAATTGGGAGCCCAAGACTCCCACGCCGGCTATCCACACTCCTAATTCTGTGGCTTGCGGACTTCCTCCACAGAGGTCTTTTACTGCTTGGTAATTGCCTGCCCTTGGAGTCAGCTGGGGTGTTTCATGCGCCTCTGTTTGCCTCTGGGTAGGAGGTAGTTTCATCACTGATAGGAGCGTAAGGTACTGTGCAGCCGTTCTTCCCCTGATATAGTGAGACCCTTGATGTTGTTGCCACTTATATATTCAGTATATTCTTGGCGGTCATTCCACTAGGTCCCCGTGTGTATACAGGTCCCGGGGGTTCAGCTTTTAGCAGTTTATTTGGTAGTTTGGAGTGCTGGTTAGCAGTACCTTGCCAGGGCTTCCCTTAGCAGAGCATCTAAGGGGCCCTAGAAAACCCCGCTGGGGCTTAGTGGTCCGATGGATGCGTCCCCTGGGTTCCATTTCGCTTTGTGCGAGTTTGAAGGTTGCTCTGCTCCTTTGTCTTAGGGTGACAACCACCTGTTTTGCCTCAGTCATGCTGCCAGTTGGGTTGGTGACACCTTCGACCCAGAGTCCTGTGAGTGGTGTTGCTTGCTTGTTCTCCAGATCACCTAGAATAGACCTAAAACGTTGATAAAGCGAGAGGGGCTATTCAGTAAATTCAATTTTAATAATAAAAGGTTGTCCTTTAAGTCCTTTAAATAATAAAGGACTGGGAGATAATAAACAGGGAACTTACAAACATTCCATGGGAAACTGTTCTAAGTAATACAAGTCCTACAGAAGGAATAGAAAAACTGACTTCGGAAGCGTATCAAGTCTGTCTGAAACATGTTCCTTTGAGGGAAGCCAGAAAGAGATCCAACGTAGAAAGAGAACGCAGACGACACTATAAACGCAGGAAAAAAATAACGGAACTGCTTATGCAGACACGAATTTCCCGTCAAAGAAGGAATAATTTAAATAGGGAGATTGAAGAAATTGAGCGAAAATTGAAACACTCATATGAAACTGAAGAGAGGCAGTTAGAACAGAAAGCAATTCAAGAAATAAAGAAAAATCCAAAATACTTCTTCACATATGCGAAATCAAAAGTAAAAACCACTGCCAATATTGGACCTATTCGTACAAGTGAAGGTTCATACACGGAGGATGACAAAGAAATTAGTGAAATCCTAAAAAAGCAGTATGAGGACATGTTTAGCACTCCAATAAACAACATGAAAGTGGAAGATCCAGACAATTTCTTTATGCGGGATATTCAAACCCCTGTAAATATAACTGATATCAACACGAGCGCACTAAATTTTGAAAGAGAAATTGAAAACATGCCCATGCACTCGGCCCCAGGTCCAGACTCATGGAATTCAATATTTATAAAGAAATGCAAAGTGCCGGTAGCACAGGCACTCAGTATAGTGTGGAGGAAGAGCTTGGACACGGGGGAGATACCAGATGCACTTAAAGTAGTAGACATAGCCCCTCTACACAAGGGAGGGAGCAAAGCATTGGCAAAGAATTATAGACCAGTTGCACTAACATCGGACATTATAAAAGTATTTGAGAGAGTGATTAGGAGTCAGATCACCAATTTCATGGAGACCAATGACCTTCACAACCCAGGCCAACATGGATTTCGATGGAAGATCGTGCCTCTCACAGCTACTTGAGCACTACGACAAAGTCACTGAGGCATTAGAAGAAAAACAGAATGCTGATGTGATATACACGAACTTCACAAAGGCTTTCGATAAATGTGACCATGGCGTGATAGCACACAAAATGAAGTCAATGGGAATAACCGGTAAAGTAGGATGCTGGATACTCAGTTTTCTGTCAAACAGGACTCAGCGAGTAACGGTCAACCATATAAAATCTAGTCCAAGTGCAGTTAAAAGCTCTGTACCTCAGGGTACAGTCCTTGCACCGCTGCTTTTCCTTATTCTCATATCAGATATAGACAAAAATACAAGTCACAGCTTCGTATCAACCTTTGCAGATGACACAAAAATCAGTATGAAAATTATCTCAGCTGAAGATATTGAAAAACTTCAAGTTGATATTAATAAAGTTTTCGACTGGGCATCAGAAAATAACATGATGTTTAACAGTGATAAATTCCAGGTACTCAGGTACGGTAAAAATGAGGACCTTAAACATAATACAGAGTACAAAACACAATCAAATGTACCCATAGTAGGAAAACAGCATGTAAAGGATTTGGGAATAATAATGTCTGACGACCTAACGTTTAAGGAGCATAACCAAGCAAATATTGCGACAGCCAGAAAAATGATAGGATGGATTACAAGAACTTTCAAATCCAGGGATCCCATCACAATGGTTGTACTCTTCAAGTCACTTGTGTTGTCCCGTCTTGAATACTGCTCAGTACTCACTTCCCCCTTCAGAGCAGGAGAGATTGCTGAAATAGAGGGAATACAGAGAACATATACGGCACGCATAGACGCAATAAAGCACCTAAATTATTGGGATCGTCTCAAAAAATGTACTCTCCCAAATGTACTCACTAGAAAGAAGACGAGAGAG